GATTTAGCCTAGTAGACCAACTGTTAGAGACAGACGTATCATTTTTATGGAATTATATGATAATCATATTCAGATTTATATAAGCATTTTACAAGTATTGCAATCATTGAGTAGAGATAATCATGGTATTTTCATCAGCTTGGTACTTTTTGAAACATGACTGTGTCGTGTAAACAATCTGCAATTTTTCAAGGCATGACAACTTGCCCCTATTCTATTTTCAAACCAAGGCCATTTTGCTAACTCTTGGGCCCAAGACAACTTTTCAACTGGGACAAAAGAGGGACCTTCTTCTGCCCGAGCACCGACTGGAGAAGGCTGCTTGGCGGGTCTCGGGCAGGCGCAGCCCAGCAGATGCCGGGTGGCGGTTTCAAGCATAGTTGAAAAATTGCAGTTTGTCTGTGCATATGTTTGGACTCTTTCCATGTTGTCCTGTTTACAAGTTAACCTAAGTTGGGGTGTTTGTCACGGGTCTTCTTGTTTTTGTATTTAAATAAATAAAGCAGAAAACTGTCTTGCTACAGTTTTGCTGCAGATAGTTATATCCTCATGTGTAACGTGCGTGCCTACTGGCAAGCACCTTAGTAAATTATCAACTCACCGCTGTGAACCTGCCAACTTGCTATAACAACTCTGCTTTAAAAAAAGTGTTTGTGATCAGGCTTTCTCTTTGTCATCGTATGTGCATGCAGTATGATCAGTTGAACAATAACCATCAATAAAGTTTCACGAGATTTGAAAACAAAGTTTCTGTAGCATTTATATCTAAGAATGAAAAATAAATTATCTTTAAAATTGAAACAGAGAGAGAAAGAGACTATATTAATCAATGAAAAATGGGGCAGTAACATATATTTATACTGATGAGGGAATGAACTGAAATTTACTGAGAGTTCAATCCCCACATTTATTATATAAGATTTACGAAACAAGCCTCCTGTTTTGTTTCTTTTTTTTTTAATAAAAAGTATATTTCATTTAAACACCACGATAAAAGCAACTTGAAAAATGTTTACCAAATGTTAGGCTTCCAATTCAAAGTGTGGACGATACATCTTTTTTGGAATTGCACACAGAATATGTCTAAAGTGGGGAATGACAGAATTTATTTGCAATTTTGATTTTCATGAGATGGCTTTACAACTCCCACTCTCCAAATGATTATATGGCGTTTTAGTCTATTAAAATAATCTTAAAAGGTTGAGGGTGCAGCCCATAGTAGAAAATATTTTGTTTATAAATCTCCTACAGTACTCCTAGTAGTCATTTTAAAATGTATGTCTGAAATAGCTATGTAAGAAAAGCATTTGAAATTTTTTTACGATATATATATTGGGAATGTTTTCACTTATATAAATAACTACTGATAATATGACTTATGAAAAAAATTATTACTACCATATGTGGAATATAGTGACTTCTAAACAGATTTAAAAAAACACCCTACAAACCCAGAAAATGTGTATATCTGTCTTTAGAAATTAGTGTTTATATCACAACCGTGATTTGTGAATAAAGAAACATGGTTTGTAATATCAAAATAAAAGCTTAGTCTGAAAAGGTAAAAATACGTTGGTGTTCAAAGTCATTTTGCTTTTCTTTTTTACTGTGTCGGTCTAAGAGCTATCCACAGTTGCACCATCTATCCCGCACACACCACACTTGCAAACAGACACGCTGTTGACAAGGTTCACAGCTTTTTGAGTGCCCGGACGCGGTGGCTGGGAGCCCAGCTGGGCAGAGGAGCCCGTGAGGTTAGTGCTGGCCCAACTACCCCGGGAGCACAGGGTGTGTGGTGGGGGGGGTGCGAGGGGGCAAGAACCTCATCAGGGGGCTCAAGTTTGGCTGCTGCTGCTTTTCAGCCAGAGACCAGAGCAATGAGATGGAGCCCAGGGCTTGGTTTGAAGGTTTGCTTCCCGAAAAGGCAAGGTTAGTGCAGGATCAGCTGTATTTTTCAGGCAACACTGCATGATACATGAGGAAGGATTGGGTTTTCTTCATTGGGAGAGGAAAAAAAAAAAAAAAAAGACATTTTCCATTTGCATTCCATCTGCTCAGGGAGCACCGACACCGGGGAGAGCCAGGGACCAGTTCAGTGCGTGCCCACTGCTCTCAGCTGGGCGCTGCACGGCTTCTCTCCAGTGAGGGATGGGAGTTAGCCTCTGTCTAGCTGTCTTTTTCATGGACAGCTTCTATTTCTGTGTACCTTCAAGTACAGGGGAGGAAGGAACAATAACTGTTCTGGAAGGCTGCTTCTTGTCCCTTCCAGGTTTGTCATCCAAGCCGCACGACAGGTGATTACGTGCTTGTAGATCTAGACCTACCCATCAGTCCAACTGGCCCAACAGCTCCAACAGATGAGGCTGATGAGTTTAATGTGCCATTAATCCTGTCACATGCATGCCAATAGAATTATGTGGCTCTTCAACCTGGGTTCCTGTTATATTGTCATTTAGCAGAGGAAGAGAAAACATAAGGGAGAAAATATTGCATGTTTTGCAGTTTAGCCACAAACTTTACTCTTAAAAGTGCTTGGATCCTTCTGGGGAGATAAAGAGAAGAAACCTTGGGGTTTGCCAGGAATGGTGGGGAGGTACCGTGTTATGCTTACTTTACATATTTAGATGAAACACAAGCAGTAAATGTTCACATGTACTCTTCTCCACACCATGCATGAGGGATATATTGGCAGCATTTACTTTGGTGGCTGGATGAAATGACAAAGGTAGTCATACTGAGTAAGCCTTGGACTGAAGGAAGGTGAGAAGCATGCGAATAGATAAACGCAAGTGGGACACGCACACAGAGAACCTGAAACACTGCATAATTTTCACGTGGTTGGATTCATCTGCCTGTTGTCTGGTAGCATTATTTATGATTTAATGCAGTAGTGCTCCCTTTCTTGGCCAAGTAACCAACACACACTAAATCAATAAAAACTTTGTATTTATTGAACAATTGGCCGGAGAATAAGCAAAGCATCGTGTGTAACCAAAAGGAAAAAAGGAAAATGCAGTAAGCTTTTCAGTGTATTTTTTCCAATTATTAAAAGTTCTAATATGGCTGTAATTTTCTAGCAAAAATTAAATTGAATCTTTTTAGGAAATCTTAGAATTTTCCCTGTATACCATGTCCTGTACCGCCCTGTCCTTGATCATCTTTAAAGGCATCCAGGTTGTTTCTTAGCTTCCCATTTGGGTAAAATGTTAAGTATGTTTAACTAGAATTTAATTTTGTTTAACTTTTTGGGAACTTTGCCTTTGGTTTGAATTGCTGTTGTGCTGTATTGCTGGTTTTTACCTCAAGTGATTTTTTTGCAAGTTGGATGAGTTTGCCACGGGTTTTTTCAGTTTTACAAAACAGATGCGTAAGGAAAAAAGGCTGTGCAAATGATTTCTTCCCTAAAGTAGAGCTGAAATATCATCATTTTGGTAGGTGGAGGGGAGAGAAGAAAAAAGATTAAAAAAGACAAGAAAAAACCCAACTGTGTTTCAGTGGGAAGAGAAGATTTGAGTAGGAAGTGAGATCAGAATGGGGACAATGATTTTGGGAGGGCCTTGAAGAATTTATGAAAGTGTCATCAAAAGCAGTTGTCTTACCAATATTATAAAAGTTTATCCTAATGCTTCATTTATTGCTAAAGGGCAGACGTTTCACCTCTCACTATAACATGAGCTTTATGCCAAATCTTTCCAGACTGGAACTTGAGTCCTTACAACACGTAACTCAATTCACACAGCAATGGAGATGTTTGCTCTTTGTCTGAAAGGGAAATTGTTCTCCAGCAGCTTTTATGCCTCTCCAGCACTTCCCGAGTGCTCTGCATACCAATAACTGTCTTGCAGCACTTCACAAAAAGCACAACGGACACAGATTAGGATCAGGAAAAAATCTAGGTAGAATATGCCAGTATATCATCAACTTGAATCTTTTCTCTTAATGAGGTAAGACTGAGATTAGCACAGGAAGGAAAAAGATTAAAAGTACTTCCAGATCCAAGAGCTGATCCTTATTTTCTTACTTAGAAAACAAAGGTTTTTATTTCATGCTGGTTTGTATTTAGGTATGTGGGTACAATTCCTGTATCTACACAAACAAAGGATGAAACTGATGCGATGGCAGTGTAGTTGAAACAGTGATGTGGCTACCTGAGCATTTTGCCACTCACTTTAGCTGGCCAGGGTACAACTTCTGCTATGCAGCAAAGCAATGAAACCGGCTAATTACCCATTCGCGAAGAGCAGATACTCCAAGAAGGGACCAGGAAACATCAATGTCATTTTAGGCGTCCAGTCAGGCAGCATTCAGGGCCAGGAGCTCCTGTTCAGCTGTTGTTCAGCGCGCTATAGTAGATAATGTCAAACTTTTCAAATTCTTACCTAACGTCCTACCAGGAGCTCAAGGTAGGAGATCTTGGTTTGTGTCGTTTGCAGTACCCAAGTAGGTAGGGGTACTAGGAGTAAGAGGTTTGGGTGGAAGCGGGGAGATAGGGGTGATTGTCATGCCCACTGAAACCATGTTAAAAATACTCACAAATACATGTGAGATGTGGTTTTAAAAATCTTTTCTTGGCTCAACACAGGAATGTGGTTTTTTCCATATGTAGCTGCCCTGTGTGTATTGGATCGAGTCGTTCTCAGTTCTCATATTAAAGACCTTCCATTTTACTTAAATAATTAGTCATCGAGAAACACTTCCTCAACAGTCTGTTAGTTGGGACTCTGCCCTGGATTCCAGTCCCTGTCCTACACCAGTCAGAGTGAAAAAAACACACCTCCGTGACATCATTGCTTGCTTAACAGGCATCATATGACAGTGATGTGTCCCTTCTCTTTCCCATGAGATAGGTTGGCTTGTTGTGGGTTCTTGATTCCAAAAGAGATTTACAGCTGCAAATCCCAACTGGAGCCAAGCTCACTGTGTTTAAGGTAGTTTGCAGCACTCCAGACTCCTCCTCAGCACTGCTTATGGCTCGCTTTAGTTCGCTTTCTGTTCGCTTTGGTTTACCGCTGCGCTGCCTGGGCAGCCCGCACGCCTGACCAGTTTAATGATTCCATTCTTCAGCAGAAGGCCTGTAAGTCAGGAGTTCAGGATACAGGAAAACTGTTAAATAAAACATAAGTGAATGCAAAAATAATCATTTAATGGACATGATGAAAGGACAGTAAACCAAACAGTTCAGTCCAATGGATGATGTATAACATCTAAACAAATATGACAACTAATTAAGGATTAGGTTCTGCATTTTGGATGACAGGCTTTATAAAAATGAACAGTTAGGCTATGTTGGGGTAAAAAAAGCTGCATTTTGCAAATGTCAGGCAGACAGCTCAGTAAGCAGAAAAGCTCAGTTATCCAATTAAAATAAATGTGCAGTGTTCTCAATATAAAGAGCTAAGGCATCCTTATGTTGAGGAGTTAAGATCCTGAAATATAAGTGGAGCAAAAAGTGCTCTCTATAAAGATTAATGTAATCTATCAAGATTAACATTTTGCATGCTGGCAAAGGCATATAGTAATGCCTTTCAATTCCTGAAATTGGAAACATTAGACTACGATCAGTACCAATTTAAACCCCAGGTAACCCCAAATATTGAATTGAATTCATTATTTACAACCACGATGGGCTAATAAACTTGCCCTAATGGCTTCTATGGGAAATAGGTACCTACAGTAGGTGCTATCCTATTTCCCATAGTCCTCTCTGATACTTATGTGAAATGTAATAAGTTGCATAAATGT